TTTGGGCTCCTCAGTGATGAAGACTGTGGTGATTTTAGCAGCAATCTATGCCAATACCCCCTCCAGTGTCAGGGAGAGTCCTGGGGCAAGAAAACCCCTCATGAACAATTATGAAGTGACCTGCACCTAGGGGAAGTTTCTTCCTAACCTCAATCAGTTAGTGGTTTGCTTAAGACCTGAAGAATGAAAATTATTCCCAGCTGATGGTAAGAAAAACCAAGTATGTTTCCAGGGCAGCAGAATGATTCTCATTACTGCTAATTCAAGTTATATATGCAGAAAGAGCATGTGTATGGTAAGGTTCTGGAGGTAGGTGTATTATGCATATATAATACAAAAGGATCTGTATAGTACTACAGGTATTTGTTATAATCTTCTCTAGAGGAAAAAATCCGACATGTTTGGATTGAATGCTATTGGACCAGTACTAAGACCCTCCAGTAAGATGCTGAGTGCCCTCATCTCCCATGGAAGTCCATGAAACATAAGGCCAGATTATGCATTCCTGGAACTGTAGCAAAGAAAAAAGTGCAGGTTTGGACCCCAGTATATATTAAAGAAAAAATAACTGCATGAAAACTTAAAACGAGGAGACAAGCCTTTTCTGCAATTCTGGCTTGTAAACACACACATCCCCCTGCATTGCCCCCACATGCATCCTCAGGGCTTTCAGCTGGTTCCCAGAGCAGGGGCACCAGCATTGTTATGAAAGGGCTGTGAACTGGAAGAAAACTGTGGGTATTATCATGCAAATGAGCCCACCAAGCAACCCACTTTGTTTCCAAATTCTGAATTCCCCCTCCCCCACACTGCCACATCAAGTTTTGAATGAATGAGTAAATGAATAGTATCAAACTATGTAATAAACATTTAACGCTAAATCCAACCCCTCAAAGGTGCTTCACATGGAACCAAGATTTAGCTCAAAAAATAGACACTCAGTCAAGCTTAATATGTATAAAACTATAGCTGGCTAAACATGTGCTGTAAGATCCCAGCTAATATCCAAACCATACTGCTGTACTGTCAGCATTAGACCACTGACAATCCATCAGTCCCTCTGGTTCTAAAATTTCTTACTAATTACACTCCCTTTTTAGCACTAGTTTGATATTCCATTCATGTAAGTGAAGCAGATTTGCCAGTGCTTATTATAGCAAATGGTTACTTGCTTCTGAATTATGTATGAATGATAAACTGCACACACATATATGCACCTCATGAAGTGAACTGCAAAGAAAGAACGATAAAAGAAGGGATGAGGTCTCCTTTTCTAAACAGTCTGCAATCCTCTGGCTGTCACCAGAAAAAGGCATTAGACCTGTTTGCTGCTTTTCACAGGCTGTGGCACATTAGATGTTAATGTGAAAGAAAATTCCTCCTTCTCAACATGAGCTATGATAAACTTGAAAAAAAAAAATCTTATTCCCTTCCTCTTCTGTGTTCTCTACAAGTGTATGTACAGTATTGCTTAAAGTTATGCATTTGGGGGTTGATCCAGGGCCCCACTGAAGTCTATGGAAAAACATCCACTAATTACACTGGACTTTGAATCAAGCCCTTATAGACATATAGATGGTGAGAAAGAGACACACACTGCAGACTAAATCCTGGTCCTGGTAATGTCTGGTATGTCCATACTCACCTACTATAGATATATAGATTCTAACATTCACGTGGTTTAACTTCCTTGAGTGGTGGTCGACTCATGGTAGTAAAGCGAAGGATTACAGAAGTGAGATCTCTTGTGGCTCCTGAGGGAGAAGCATCGCCTCTTTGAGGTGGCCATGTAACCTGCATCTCTACCTAGTAGTCTCTTATGTCTGTGTAAACTTTTTCTCTCCCTGCAAAAATAGCATAAGAATTTTTTCAATGCACAGAAAAGCAAAACAAACTAAATTAAGCTCTTTGGGGGGGCGGGGGCAATAAAAGACATCGGGCCAAATTCTGCTCCCAGTTACACCTATGCAATTCCAGTGCAGTAAATGGGGTTACACCAGGGTAAAAAGTGAAAGAAGAATTTGGGCAAAATATGTAGTTTAATTTCAATGGATAATAATGAACAAATTATTTAAAATACGTTTTTACCCAAACTATTAGTGACTCACCAACTTCTATCTCCCCAAAAGGTCATCTCTATCTTTTGCTTGTGTTGGTGAAAATACATTCTAATAATGGAATATCAAAATAAATACTTTTAAAAATCCTTATTCTTTTAGTGCTGTATCTGCTACCAGGTACGGGGAAGGAGGGAAGGGAAGAGGAAAGTAACAAAACTTCCCCAGGCTACTTCAGGTTCAGTATATCCAAATCACATAAATCTTTGGATTCAAGAGACTTCTAGTTGGAATCTTGGGCCTGAAACTGCACTGGTTACTCAAGCAAACCTCCCACTGACTTCTCAAGTTGAAACCAACAGGAGTTCTGGCTATGTGGAAGATATGATTAGCTTTATACTCTGTTCTCCTTAATCAAGAGTATTAAAGTTAATGAATACGCGCAGTGTACAGCACAAGACAAAGCAAACTAAGGCTCCGATCCTGCAATCTGATCCACACAGCTGGACTCTTAATATGATCTCACTATAGTCTTATTCGTAAGTTAAGAGATGGTATAAGAAGGTGATGCTCAGTTAAAACATTCTTTTTCTTACAGGATTTATTTTTCCCCTTGAGCCAGATACTACAGCCCTTACTCAGACAAAACACAATTGATGTCCAGCATGAATGTACTTGTCTCCTACGCACCTCAGTAGTAAATACTGATACTGAGTTACAGGGGTAGGCAACCTATGGCACGTGTGCCAAAGGCGCACGCAAGCTGATTTTCAGTGGCACTCACACTGCCCAGGTCCTGGCCACCAGTCCAGGGGGCTCTGCATTTTAATTTAATTTTAAATGAATCTTCTTAACACGTTTTAAAAACCTTATTTACTTTACACACAACAATAGTTTAGTTATATATTATAGACTTATAGAAAGAGACCTTCTAAAAACATTAATATATTTTACTGGCACGTGAAATCTTAAATTAAAGTGAATAAATGAAGACTCGGCACACCACTTCTGAAAGGTTGCCAACCCCTGCTGTATTATATAAGGATACAGTAGTTAACTCCTCTGCCTCAGTTTCCCAATGCATAAACTGGAAACATTAATACTTACCTCTCCGGGACACTGGAGATTAGTTTTTTGCACAGCTTGATAAAACTGTAAAGTGCTACTGTAAGTAGCAAGTATCAATATTATTATAATCAGATTAAAGAAAAAGGTCACATGTTGGGTTTACCGACTTTGGCTCAAATTATACAGAGGGTCTCTAGGCTAGAGAAAGGATCTGAGTTTGTAGTTCCTTTTGCAGAAATAGTCTCTGACAATAACCCCTTAAGCACAATGCAGGAGATTTTCAAAAAGGGACTAGTGATTTTTTGGGTATGTCAGGTTTTGAGTGCTCAAATCAACATACTTTAAAAGGGCCTGATTTTCAGAAAGTGATGAGCATTCCTCCATAAAAGTCCCCCCCCCCCTTAGAGTGTCTAAAGTTTGAAACCCAAAAACTGAAGCATCCAAAATCATTAGTTATTTCTGAAAAATCCTGGCCAATTATTTTTGCCTGAATTAAAAATGCCAGTATTTTCCACTGAAAATCATTAGAAGCAATTACATTCACTAAGGACATTTATTGAATGTTTTTTAAAAAAAGTAGTTTAAATGTAATATGAGGTATTTTTCCTGTCTGCCTACTGATTGAATTCCCAATCAGCAGAACAAAGAGCCCAACCCTGCTCCTATTTAAATCAATGGCAAAACGCCCATTGAGTTCCATGGGATGCAGCCTTCTCTGTTGAAACAAAGCAAGCGCTACAAAAGGTGTTGTTTTGACAATTGTCATTACTTTGTTTATAATCCAGAAGGTACTAGGAAATGTTCAGCTTCTGTATACATGAAGGGCCTGATTCTCCAGTCACTTGTTACTCCTGATTTACACTAACTCTGCAGAAGTCAATGGGGTTACACTGGTATAAAACCGGTTTAAGAGGAGAATCATATCAATATAATCTTAATATGAGAAGACCACTCTTTAGGACTCAAAGTTTTTGCTAAAATGACAAGAGGGATTATAATTTTGTGCGTGAATGAGCAAGGCATGTACTGCATTGCATTAGGATGAATCGATATTTTGTACCTACCTAGTTATCACTCAGGAAGGATTCCCCTAAAATAAATGAAATTTGAATATGTTCTATAGTTGCAGGTGTTGTCACCCCACCTAGTGCCATTTTTATTTGAACATCCAACAGTAGAACATAGTACCTGTCAAAGAAAAATCCCAGGTGAACCAAGCCAAGAGGGAAAGAAAATAAAGATGGGCATTACTAGCAAAAAGTTAATTAGGTCCACCCCCTCAACCATACATGAAGATCAGCGACTAAACTTGATGCTTTGAAAAAAAAAAAAAAAAAATAGGGATCTTTACTGGGCTGCTCTGGTGCAAGAGTGTCCCCTCCCTTTTTGGGCTGTAAGCAAGTGAAGCCTGTAGCCCAGATGTGTTATTCAGGAGAGTAGTTCAGCAGTTAAGGGCAACCTATGGAAAACAACATTAGGAGGCAAGTGGGGAGAGTCACTGACCCAGCCCTGCTGCAGGACAAAGGAGTTTTGTGCTTCTGAACTGGTTACTTACTGAGGAAATGAAGATGACATCATCACAGACAAAACAAAAACAAACACTTCATATAGGAACAACACTTCCCTCCCCCAACCCGACCTCAGAGAATTTGGTCTCCCTATTGCAGAAGCTGATGTCTCTGGAAAGCTCCCCCGAAAAGGATACCCAATGTTGCAGAAAATACACTTATTACAGAACTCTGCTTCAAAAGATGTGCAATCCAGAGACCATACATATCAAACCCCACCCATCCCAAATTTTATCTGTGAAGTCAGTCACTATATGCAGATAGTAGCTTCAGCTTTGTTCAGGCAACTCATTGAACCACAAGAAACTTCTCATGAATGTCATCATAGAGTCTTTTAATACTTTACATAAAAAAAAACTGCATACACAGCTTATATAACTTTATGTAAACATCATATAAGTCTCATTGCTTTTGCCATGTCAGTTCATTAAAAAACAAAAACCCTAAACAAACTGTCAGTACCACTGTCAAAAAGGGAAACCAAAATACCTCATAAAGGACAAAAATAGATGGATAGGTTTGTTCTCTGAACCAGAGAAGCACAGGTTTAATGGCTGCCCTGTAAAAATAAATTTTAAATAAACCCAAATACTTTAAACTGCTCTGGGAGGGGAGAGGAAGGAGCCAGTGTTTCCATTCACTTTTCAAAGAAATACAGTGGTTTTATTTCTTATTTGACATTTTTAAAAGAAATCCAAAACAGATGAGGTTACTATGTCAAAAGTGTTCATAATGCTACAGTGTTATATGCATTTGACAAGTGTTAACTTTTTAATTTTAACACCTAGTTGTGCAAAGTAAGTTCTCACTGGAAAATGATATTTTTTAAATTAACCGAAACAACACAATTGCAGAAGACAACTGTAACTGAAGGAGCAGGCACCAAGATAATACATGGCAACACTGGGCTTCTCCCCACCCGTTCCCATCCTGCTGTGACTGCCATCAGGAGACTGATGTCTAGGGTAGATCAATCTTTTCCAGTTCAGCTGGGTGACTTCTACAACTGGAGTCAGTTCAGCTCTTTAAACAGCAGGCTTTAGTCATTCTTGACTGTGTTGGGGAAGGGTGTCTGTTCCTTTCAATGACTGAAATTCAAGCTGGGCTGAGTAGTTTGGCACCCACTCCCCAGTTTACTTTAAATAATAAACACACCTTTCAGTATCCCAGTTCAAACAAAAATAACATTTAGATATATACACACTGGATAACCCACCCTTCCCTGATGCCCCTTTGGATCCAAGTCCTTACAGAACTATGTTACACAGCAGGTACATCGGAGGTCAGCTCAGTCCAGGAAATCTGCCCCATGGGAGGTACTGCAGGAAGTCTGAGAAATGCAGTCCCCACCCCAAAGCACTCAGGGCCTGGGGTAGGAAGAGCGCACATACAGGAAGGAGGAAGTCTCTTCCGAGTGTCTCATGTGCATGGATTCCCTCTCACAAAGGAGACTGTCTCGGTGCAGTAGATACTGGGTTAATAACCCCAGCTGGAGAGAAGGGAGAGGAGCTGGGTCCATTCCCCCCCGCTTAAATCTCAGCAGCAGTGGCTGCGTTTCACAGTCCATGAGCCATTGGTTTGCAGGGGGTGGGAGCAGCCTTGGTCTCTGGACGATGGGCGCCTCCCCCAAGGCTCAGGGCATGCAGGCGCCCTCCCGCACGGCAGCTCTCTGTCCCCCGCACGCTCCCTGGGCTAAGCGCGTGGGTCTCCCCGCTTCACCTCCAGTGCACGGCTCCTAGCAGGGGCAAACCCCCCAGTGCAGCGTCCCCCCGGTCCCGGCGGGCGAGTGACCCCAAGGCAGCCCCACGGCGCGCCCTATAGCACCTTGCAGCAGTTGAGGCAGCCGCTCGGGGCGCCGTAGCGCTTCTGCAGGGCGGCGCGGGTGGCCGTCTCGAAGACCTCGCGGACCCCCTCCTTGGTCTTGGCCGAGCACTCCAGGTAGTCGTAGGCCTGGATGCGGACGGCCATGGCCCGCCCGTCCTCGGTGCGCACGGGCTCCTGCTTCATGCGGGCCAGCTCGTTGCGGACGTGCTCGTCGTTGCGCAGGTCCTTCTTGTTGGCCACCAGGATGATGGGCACGTTGGGGCAGAAGTGCTTGACCTCGGGCACCCACTTCTCCGGGATGTTCTCCAGCGAGTCCGGGCTGTCCACCGAGAAGCACATGAGGATCACGTCGGTGTCCGGGTAGGAGAGCGGCCGCAGGCGGTCGTAGTCCTCCTGGCCGGCCGTGTCCCACAGGGCCAGCTCCACCTGCTTGCTGTCCACCTCGATGTCCGCCACGTAGTTCTCGAAGACGGTGGGCACGTAGACCTCGGGGAACTCGTCCTTGCTGAAGACGATCAGCAGGCAGGTCTTGCCGCACGCCCCGTCCCCCACCACCACCAGCTTCTTGCGGATCGCGGCCATGGCCAGGCTCGCCAAGCTCGCCTTGTGGTGCAGCAGGATGCTGGAGGCGCCTTCTTCGCCGCCCGCCCCCCTTCCTCCGCCTCCCTCTCGCTGTCTACAGGGCACCGTGGCGAGCTGGGATGGGCGAGGCGAGCCGGGGGGTGGGGGGTCTCTCTCGCACCCCGCGAGCTGGGGATGAAGCGGGATCGCTGCACACCCGCTGTCTCCGCCCCGGGCCCCGGGGCTTTGTTACTGCCGCGCTCTCCCCTGCCGGGCTGCGATGAAGGCGGGGGATCGCTGCACCGCCCCGTTCTGCAGGCTGCCGGGCTCGCTCGCTCGCCTCACCGCCTCCCGCAGCCGGGGCTCTCCGTAGGCAGCCCCGCCGTCTCCTCTCTCCGCACGGCTTGCGCCTCTCGCCTGCCCCCGCCGCTGCGGATCCGCCGCGCGCCCGAAGCAGCCTGGGGTGTATTTTGTGGGGCAGGGGCTTGAGCAACGTGGACAGCGAGCGCCCAACGCTTCCACCGCTCTCACTCTGGCTCCACCAGTGCTGGGCGCTGCTATTTAAAGGGGCCGGCTACTTTCTTAATATAGCCGGCCAATAGCAAGGCAAAGAGTGAGGTCATCTTTTGGAAGGCGCTCAGCCATTGGTGGGGAGCTGCAGGCACTGCGGGCGGGGCCGGGCCGGAGTGACTGGCACTCTGCAATGAGGGAGGCGGCTGGCTCGCTGCAAGCGGCTGGAGTGAGGTGCGCTGCTCCTCGGACCTGGGCAGGGACTGCACCGTCCTGAAGGGTGGAGCGGGAGGGCGTTAAAGGGGCCGTCTCTGCTCTTCTCCCCAGGGCCAGGTGCGTCAGTGTTTTTCCCAGAAGGGGTCCCGCTTCCTGGGAGCTGGAGGATTGATTCCCCTTAAACTTTCCTGAATGGCACAGATATTTCCCTGCCTCCCTCCACTGCAGTGTCTCCACATCAGTGTTTCTCAGAGCTTCACAAGCAGCTATGTGCTGTAGATCGCTGGGAACATGGCTCAAGCCAGCTCCTTCCCAGCCCCATCTCCCCTCACTCACCGGCTGCAGTTAGTTATTGATACCAAACGTCACACTTTCCACATGCTAAACACTTACTTACCAGGCTGCAAGGGATGTGGAAGCAGATGAAGATACTTTGAGGGATCCAGGGCCAGCTCTACCATTTTTGCCACCAAAAAAAAAAAAAAAAAAAAAAAAAAACCCACGCCGGGACTGTGCTGCCCCAAGAATGGAGGAATGCAGCCCCTTAGCATGTGCCGCCCCAGTCACGTGCTTCCTCCGCTGATGCCTGGAGCCAGCCCTGGAGGGATCACTGTTCCATCATGCTCCCCACCCCACAACCTGCCTAGGAATAAGTAACCAACTTCATATGCCCAGTTTTGCCTTATTACCCTGTGCAAACATTGACCTGTAATGAAATGATCCATCTGTGACAGAATTGCACATGGTTAATTGATGTGCAGTGCACACAGCTTCCATCA